GAAAGTGTGTGTGTGTGTGTGTGTGTACACATACACAGAGATTTTAAAACTCCAGTTTGTTTTTTAAATACAAATAGGGTTTTTTCCGTTATTTGTGCTACACATCAACATTTTAATTTTAAAATCAAAAGAAAATGAATGTTTAATTTGCATTTCAGTCTAAAAGCAGGTAAATATGTATTGTTTCAAAATAGGAAATCTTTTCCATTCAAACACAAAATGTAATATTGATTCACTATTGATAAGGTCTCATGGGGGGGGGAAGGAAAGCCCCCCATTAGTTTGGGTTTGACTGGCAGGAATGTGCAAGTTAATACACACTATGGTATCTAGATATATAAAAAGAAGAGACATAATGGAATTTTAAATATGAATTGAATGTCAGTTACAAAATTTAAAACATTAAATTAAATTTTAACATATTTCCACAAACTCATTTGTAGACATAAGGCCCCCAATGGGTTGGTACAATTATATACATTGGCTTTCACATCACTTCAAAAAAATCTAATCAAGTCTCTGTCATTTCTCTCTATCTGGTGTATCTTTTATTTCCCTGAAAACGTATGTTTGGTTTGCTGTAAGATGGAGAGTAAATAGAAAATAATGCAGAAATAACCCATCCAATTACAATAAAAGTATCCTTTGTAACAAAAGATTAACATTCATTCTCATGCATAATAAAGGGGGCTGTATCCTGCGTGTTCATCTCACAGAAGTTATGTTACTGGCTCTGCAAAATACCGCATTCTAACTGCACAGAAAGTGTAGACATTTACATCTGCTATCAAGCTTAAACCTGGAAAAATATAAATGATACTCTTTTGCATACTCTTCAATGAAAACAGGTACTTGTGACTAAATGGAAACACATATTTGTTTATAATAACGAACAGTCTATGATCAGACGAAGTACAAATGATAATGAAGAACTCAGGCTTAAACATTTTTTTTAAATAATTGTTTTAGCATGCCTACTGTTCGAAAGTCAGAGATGGATAGTTTTAGAGAGAACGTATTTTTCTCTCAGCAGCCAACAGCCCCCATGAATATATTCAATTAAAACTGAAGAGCATAATCTTGAAATAGGGAATATGGCAATTACATTTTCAGCCAGCCGTAGACGTTATGTCAAATTATACTGTACAGGCTTTTTTGCTAGCAGAATTATTTCTTGCCTCTAATGCAAAGAAAAATCAGGAACTCAGCGAGGAGAAGGAAAAGCTTACCTTTGCGCCACAACAAAAGAACCAGCTCCACCACCACACCGGCAAATGCATCTGAGAAGAAAATGCTAAGAGTAAGATAGCTAGTAACCAGCACTGAGGCTCTAACGGTTCTGCCAGTGCCCTTTTTCAGGCACCAAGCATGACAATGCCTGAACACCCCTCCCTTCACATCACAGCAGGCTACTGTAGCCAGGAGACAGAGGTGCTTAAATTAGAAAACCGCTGCCAGAGGAAATAAACGGGAACCACAGCGACCCCCTCGACCCCAGCAGCTATCAAATCCGGGAAGATATAGTGCACATCTGTTTTACGAGGTCCCCAGGGAGCTCCAACTCCAGCTACTTACCCTGTCTGCATTATTAATAGATGTTAATGGCTCCATTATATCGAAAAGAAGCTGCTCTCTTTTTCTAATATGGAAATTCCAAGTCAAAAATCATGAGGCAGCAACCGGCTCCTAGGTCTTTCTAACTGCAGAACTGAGCCTCCACCCCCACTTTCCCTCACCACCTTCAATACACTGGTTTGGTAACAAAAAAAAAAAAAAATCGATTCATGGCAGTAAACAACTGCAATAAAGCAAACAGGCAGACAAAGACTTCCTGCCATAAGGCAATTCCTGAATATATGATTTTCTTTTTTGCAAGATTTCAGCTAGAGCATTTTTCTGTACAATTGATAGAGAGTAAAGAACAGAATTAACCCTTGGCATGCAAACATTACTTGGATGGCTAAATATGTAGATCTGTGTATTTTTACAGCTAAAGTTATTCTGATCTTAAACATAAAGCATATTTACATGACTCAGCAATAAAGTATCCTACCTCAAGACTTTGATTTAGCTGATAAATAAAAGGATGTGATCCTAAAGTATCCCTAGGCTGCGTTTTTGTTAATGCACAAATTTCCTAAGGGGCCATTTACCCTCGGGGTAGGTGTAGTGCAATCGTGCACCAAAGTGTCAAGAGACCCACCACAAAAGATATTGACCTATTTTTAATCAGATCCATGTATGACTGCCATGGAATTACCATTGGGAATAAAGTGAACTAAAGATTTTTTTCAATCCTTTGAGAGCAATACGCATGGCAGAATTGTGCACTTTGATGTAGGTATTCTGAGAGGTTCTGCATCAGCGTAGCTTAATTTCTATTACATCTCTAATAGGACCAGTCTCATTCATACAAAATTTCACATTCTACTCAGCAAAGCTACACACATGGATATATTTCTCTTTAGATCTCCACTGACATCCACATAACTCATTATTATATCATTTAATTTAGCTTTTAATAAGTAACTTAAGAAGGCAAACAGCGTCACAGTTTCAGTTTTTTGCTGTGCTAAAAAGTATGACACATTTTTGCTTGTATCCACTTTAAAACACCATAAATTCTCAAACTATGGGAGAATACCTTGAACTATAATAATACACTTGCATTGTAGATGGGAGGGGGGCTGTCACGTCAAGTGTTACCTACTAGTATTGCAGATGCATGCTGCAGCTGTATGCTTGCTTCCGACAAATGAATGAAAAGTGTCATTAATTCTTCCAAGACAAATGTAACAGATTGGCTTTGTTGCCACTTGCCTCTGCAGCTTTCTACAGCGGTACTTGCACGCTCTCGAAACGAAATCACAGGGTCTGGCTGTATTAACTGTATTACAGACAGCACTGATGTGATCGTCTTCATCTCTCTCTAATTATTTATCCAGATCAAGCCTGACTGCTGGAAAATTAGCTCTCTCCAGGAGGTAACAGAGCTGAAAGGTTCTTTTTACTGAGAAATGATGGGTTGGTCACAAGCAGTACATAGGCTAGTGAGGCAGTTGTGGGGAATGTCATGAGATACATTTACAATAGGATTTCCATCCTTGGTATCGAGAAAAAGAATTGCTAGTTTTAGACCAATAGGAAAATATATGTCCACAAAATAAAACTGCATAAACCTTCACTCTCTCCTTAATATGAATTTACTTCAAGGAGAGAAGGAAGGCTCTGCTCACTTCCCATTGTGTATGCATTTGTTCAAACTTGCTTTATGCAAACAGTGTAAAAGCTCTACAGTTTTCACTTACATAGAGAAATGGGTTTTTTCTCCCCTTGACAATTGCACTATGGCTATCTTCTTTGATTCCCAGAGTTGCTTTTATTAAACATGAATTGACCAACCTTGGAGTAGCTTAACCAAAAGCAATAGGCAAACATGAAGAACTGACCAACTTGAACAAAGCATAATAAAAATAGAAATATTTTTACTTGTCTATTTCTTTGGCTTTACATATAGATGATTGGTTTGAATTTTTTTTTCATTTTCTCCCTTCTGATTACAGAATAAAATAATTATGAAAATTAGTACACTTTACAGTATTAAAGGATTAACCTTTGAGATTATTTTATTTCTCATTGCTTAAGGATGAATGCTCCTGCTAATCCACTAGTCATTTCAAGGGAGTGTATGGTACGATATATAAAAATAAAACACAAACATAGAGGGCCAAATTTTAATCTCAGTTTCACCAATTTAACAGGGCACATCTTGGATTTAATCATTAGACCATCTAAAAGGTGAGAAAATTTATGAACAAAATACAACATAATGCAGAATAAAAATGCTAGACTCAATCACCAGTGGTGTATTTAGGGACTTTTTTTTCCCTGCTAAATATTGCAGCAATAGTAATAACAAAAACAAAGAAAGGTGACTAAACAGATTTCAGGATGACTTGCTCTTCTTATTGTCTTTGCAGCAGTTTCAGCACGTTGGTCTTTTTGGATTCTTTTAAATTGCATTGGGTATTACGTATGCCAGGGATGGAGTGAGAATAGTTGTCAACCCACCTGACTGCAGAACAAAGAGCATTTTTTCTTCCCGCATTTGTTGCTGATGCCAAAGCCACACCCTTTAGTCTATACAAAACACAAGCACTTTTACATCTACTTTTTCCTATCTATACCTATGGGCTTTTCCATACTAGAATAATAGAAGTCACTTTTCATTTTAAGGAGTGATTAATGTGGCATTTAGTAAGTGACTAAATCTGCGGATTGTGCAGCTGCATTTCCTGCAGTATCTGGAAATGGAGTTTCTAAACATGCACTCTCCCTTCAGTGGCTTAACACTACCCACCCACAGAAAAAAAAGGATTTAAAAAGAAAAACCAACAAGGAGATCCGGGGCGGAGGGTGGAGGGATTGTGTGACCTTGTGAAGGGAACAGGGACACAGCCTTTAGGTCCTAAAGATCAATGCATTCATGGAAAGCCTCCCCTTGAAGTCAGTGTGCTTGGATCAGGCTACATGCGGCACGGACTAGGTAGTTCGGACTAGGCTTCCTAGTCCGACCTACCGTTACTCCTCGTTTCACGAACTACCTAGTCCGTGCCACGTGGCACGGAGTCCGCATTAGCGGACATTTAAAAATGGCGGCGCCTGGCTTTATTCAAATGAAGCCCGGGAAATTCAAATCCCGGGCTTCATTTGCAATTCCGGTTGCCTACATTAACCACCCTAGTTCGAACTAGGGTGGTAGTGTAGACATACCCCCAGATCCCCTGTCTGTCACTGGTTCTTCTCCCATGCTCCATTCTGCACACCATGAAGAGGAGGCCTCTGGTCCATTGAAAATGGATACAGAAACAACCTATTACTTATTTATATAGCACTCAAAAGTGTGCTGATTGCTTTACAGGCATAAAAGGCACGCCCCTAAACAATTTATATTTTAAGAAGAAAACAAAATAAAATTACAGGCAATGGGGAAAAAGGAGGAAGGGATGTCTGGAAACCAATTGTGTTTATTGACCTGCCAATGCAGAACTGTTCCCTGTATTAATTTCTATAATCTATTCTAGAAAACACTGGTCGATCTATTTTTAAAATTACTCAAAGTATTCCCTGATACCGCCACTTACTTCTCTTAAGAAGCCCCTGCTGAGGTGGCAAGGGTGCCGTGCAGTGTTCCCTCTAAGAATTTCCATCCATGAGCGGAGTGAGTTTTCTCTTGTGCATCAACAATGAGGACATGTGCGCTTGTTCCGATGTGTGCCACTGTCGCACTCGCCAGTGGTGCTGCTCCCCGAGAGACTTTCCCAGCACAGGGACCCCGAGCCCTGCTCCCAGATAGCACCTCTCCACCTCACGGGGAGAAGTGCCCCCCTTAGGGAGCTCTATTCCGGGGGCAGCCTGTGTGCAGGGCAGAGGCTGCCCCAGGTTCCTCCTCGTGGGGCTGGCTGTCAGTCCCCACCTGGGGCAGAAGGAAGCTGCTGCCAGCACCCAGGATTGCAGGGAGTGAGGTGCTGGGGGTGGGGCAGTGACATTTGGGAAGCGGACAGGGGAGGGGAAGAGAGTGGGGAGGAAAGGGGCTCTGAGGGGCAAAAGAGAGGTGTGGGAGGAAGGAAAGAGAGATGCAGGGAGCCCCAGCCCAGGAGCAGCTGCAGGTGTCCCCCCCACCCAGGGAGCAGGCAGGCAGCCACTACATGGCCCTGGACACAGCCTAAAGGGCTGGAGCTCGGCCAGGGCTGTGTGGTGGCTGCCCAGTTGTTCCTGGGGTGGGCCACGTGGCGGGCAGCTGCCCCATGCACCATGGCTGGAGGTGACTTCAGCTCCAGCCCCAGCACATGGGGCAGCCACCCACCACACAGCCCAAACCAGGAGGCAGCGGGGCAACCACCATGTGACCTTGTTCCCCCACTTTCCCACCAAGCCCACCAGCAGCAGTTTACTTTCCAGGAAGGTGAGTGTTCCTGCACAGCTCTGCTGAGGAGGTGCACAGGCTTCAAATTCTTTGTGCGCACCCACACAGGCGCACACCCTCCAGGGAATTTATGTTGGCGTAGCTGTTTTTTCTTTAGCTCTGAAACAGCAAGGTGCCTAAGACTGGCCTCACACCTTTGAAAAGTAGCCTCCCACCCCCAGTTTTCAGAGACTCCTCAGTTGTAGCAAGGTCTTATGACCTTGTGGAAGGAATGTGAGCCCTTTTCTTCAAGTGTGGAGGGGAGACTTCTCTCAGCTCAGTTTTCAGCTGAGGTTTTATTTAGGTTGGTAGCCT